AGGAAAGAAAGTTGGAGATGACTCAAGTAGTAAGATCCAAAATTGATGGGAACTTACATGGTAAATTATTACCCTGGTGAATTTACTTTCATGTGCGGTCCCAGATCGTCCGACTGAAAATGTTGCGCACTCAACTGACACATGGCGTGGTCACTGACTATGTGGAAGGCTAATGAAAAGATGGGACAAATGAGGCCTCTTTTGTTTTCCATTCTTGGTCATGCTGCGTCTAGGACACGAGTGCAACGTTTGCACTTCCTGCTTTCGAGAAATGGAGTTGCCTTCACCCCTTTGTGGTCTTTGGTGGCATGCATTCCGCACTTGAAAAGTGTTGGGTCATTGTCATGCTGGAGGTGGACGATCTTACTGAAAAAGTGTTGGTGCATAACCCCGGATCCCCAGGTAGCTTGCTGTACATCGGGGTCACTATTTGCCACTGCACGCCAGCCAGTGTCGCCTGCATCCTCTTCAGTGGAGCTGTCTGAATCGGAGGAGGATGAGTTGCCACTGCTAGAGGAGGATTCCTCTTCTTGGCCAGGTTTTTCTTCAGCACAGTCTGGCTGCGATGGCTCTTGGATGTGTCCCGATCGCGTGAGATCGGGGTGCAAGGCACCCATCCTGATGCGCCTCAGTACGTCATCAAGCGCTCTGAGGGGTGCTGACAACATATCCCTAGAATAGGTTTCCAGGGACCCCTTTTGTGTGCTATGGTGCCCAAGTATGAGTCTGTAGTGCGGGTCCGTGCCCGCTTTTGCAAGCCAAGAAAGTGTTTTACACTTCAAGCTGTGTGAAGTGACGTGCTCTAGGTTCGACGTGTTCTGCTTGAGCAGCTCGGTCAGCCACTTTGATGCTTCCGAAGCGGTCACGCTGCGCTCACACCACTCACCGCACTTGTCAGGAGCCGGCAGAATAGGACCTTTAAAGGCCTCATCAAAGGTGATGCCCACTTCTTTTGCGACCTTCACCCACTCCATTGCCCAACAAGGGTTCGTCAATCCCCAGATGGGAGCGACCAGTGGTAACGGAAGCCCATGACGCGCCACTTGCGCTGCAGTTTTGTGTAAAAATGTAGAAAATTCCACATAGCCAAAGGTTTTGCCTTTTGTCGTGTTGACATCCAGGAAATGGTGGCTGACCTGCTTGAGATCTGACCAACGACAGCGCCCGTACAGAGCAAACAAAAATACTCCTGCAGCATATCTGTCAAGGGCATCCACTCCTACGTCTCTCAGGAGTTCTTCTAAGTAGATGACCTCTGAAACTGCAAGAGGTCTAGCCTGTCTTCTCCTTGGTCTGGTGAGGGCCTTCTGGTCCAGGATGCCTTGCACAAACTTTGATATGATGGGTTGGCTCGGGTCCTTGACTGGGAGACCGAGCACATAGGTTCCAAAGTTCACTGCTTCCACAAAGGATATGAAGTAACTGAATGTCATACCATCTTGATGCCTTTCCCACACGTAATCTGCTATACAGTCTTGCTCAAACGGGATAGGGTATCTCCTGTAAAGATACCCTTTGTGCCACATGCAAAATTGTAACAGACTAATTGTTCTTTTTGCGATTGTGTTTGGACTCCGGGCACCACAAAGTACCCTGATTTGCTGTAGGTTGCGGTCCATGTCACCTGATTCGCACTTTGTTCCGGCAGGTCTGCTGTTTGGCCCTGAGACCATGACTGTGTACAGTTTTTCGAGAGTCCTGTTCCACTTAACTTGGTCTACCTCCGGGTCTGACAGCGTGTTCTTGAAGGAGATGGCTCGCTCATACAGTTTGTAGCCGCAGCTTTCTGTTCTCGGCTTCTTCGGAAGGCGCTCCATCATGGGCTCATTAGAGGCCCTGGAAGATTCAGCATGGTCCAAGGAGTGGGCAACTTTAGGCAGCTCAGGAGTGGGGACCATAGGGGCATCACTGAAGATGGTCGCCATTATCCCGGTCTCCCAAGGGAGAGTCAGGCTGTCGCTCAGGTCCACTCCCATCATGGCTTGGTGAACCATGGATTCCAAGATTGCGGTCTCATTGTTGGAGAGCGGTTCTTCCATGCCCATTTGTGGAGTTGCTGAGTCTTCTTCTGGAACTGTCTGCGTCTCAACAGTCTCTGTTTCAACTGCAAGCTCCTCTTCTCCAACTGCATCGAGCAGGCCGTCGTAGACATTTGCTCCCAGGCTCGTATCGATATCCCCAAAGGACGGGAGAGTTTCTCTGGTCTCACTAAGAGGACGGAGTGGTTCCGTGTTGTCACTCTCTTTGTCGTCACCAAGACCATCAATGTTCACCGGCAACGGCAAATGCGTCCCTTCATCGGGGACAAAGTGTTCTGAGTCCATGATTGAGCCTGAAAAACTACTGGTACCATCAACAAAGAATTTCTTGCCTACAGCGACAGGCCAAGTCAGGTGTGTTGCACTGCCTATGGATTCTACGGAAAACTTTTGATCTTTTCACGTTGGTTCTCGCGAGCATCTGCCGATTCTGCCAGCGCTGGGTTGACTGGTGCGGTGTTTAGACTCAGCCGATGAATTCGACAACGCTGTCGGCAAGCAGTTTCACTTCCAAAAGGAATTTAAATACTTGCTCCTCATCTGGTCTTGTGCAGCTTATTATTAAATGGTCAAGGAGTTCCACAAAGGAGTTCAAATGATCTTTAAAGACAGGAGAGTATCCAGCTCCGAGCGCCCCTAGAGACGACTGCATGAACAGTGGGGAGCGTTTTCGTGCTACCTGGCTCCTAAAAGAGTGGGGGTGGTCTTCACGATTGCTGCGATACCAGAGTTTGGTTGTTTCCAACTCATGATAAAAGTCCACAAACAAATCCAGAAATGAAGGCGTTCCGACATGCCTAAAAATTTCATGGAGGCATGCTTCGGCCTTAGAGACCGTTCTCAACCATTCTCCACCCTCCACCAAAATAGAAGCTAACAGGACAGCCAGTGTTCCGGTGTGAGGCCCTATTGGCAAACTCCGTCGGGCGTTCAAGGACTCGACCCGTGCACTTGACGCTCCGGCTTGCCCGTTCATTTCCATCCAAGGCCTGTCAAGTTGATCTTCACGGATGCTTAAAAATTTTGAGGCAAAGCACGATCCGAGGAAAATTGGCGGCACAAAAACGAGGTCTAACGTGCCTCATACAAAGAGGTCCGGTCGATTTCCTACGAGGGAAAGGGGTTCCTTCCTGGTGTGTCTTTTTGTCTTTTTGTTTTTTTTTTTGAGCTCACTCGAGCTTCGCGCCTGTCTCAGCGGCTGTCGAATCGTCCAAGTCCAATGGCCTAGGGAGCAACTCACAGCCACTTGGCCGATGGGCACACTCGTGCAACACGCTAGGACTTGAACAATTCCGGTTCTATGCAAGAGGTGCAATGAGGCTTCAGCAAAGGAAGAAAAATCACCTCGGCAGCACGTCACTTGACATGTGCCATTAAGTTATTTGTCTGATATCTGTATTGGCACTCGCCACAGACACCTCTGAGAGTGACACTCGTCACAAGACCTCAGGTCTAAGGCACTTCCCAACACCTCCACATGGCGGGGCTTCTCTCAGAGGCTCTGACCACAGGCCCTTCAGTTATGAAACGGTTCTGCCTGTCGGGCCAGGTGAATGCACACTCTTGTCAAGATTGGGGACATGTTCACTCGATATAGACACACTTCCGCAGTGCCTCGAGGTGCAGGTCCCATCAAGTTTGAGCCACTGATAAAGGCCAAAGAGAAAGAGGAAGCAAGAATATGCGCCATGTTTTATCTTTCTGTTTTTGAGGCGGTGCATCAAACAAGACTCACTCCTAATTTAAGTTTATCAAAATGCCCATTACCATCGTTACACTATCTTTTTAAAGGCTTTGCACAAGGTTTCATCCAAGGCTCATGCACGTGAGCAAGGTCTAATGGCAAACTTCATGCACAAAACCCATGCACCACCCCCCAAATAATGGGTTTTGGCCGACAAAGGTTGGTCACGGCGAAGGAGCGGCTGGGCTCGGAGTGGATTCTGGATACCAAACAGAATCTTCAGGTGATGGACGTGGTGTTACCACCAAAGGTTCACCCGTCATGAGGCATCGCTCCAAGCGGGCAATGCGGTTTTCCAACCGCTGAATAACCACTGACTGCGCACTCACCAAATTGTCATATTGCTGTAACGAACGGAAAACAGATATGAAATGCACATGGACCCGAATCGGCAATGTGCTTTGCGCCTGCTGCTGAGCGGGGTCAAAATCGGCGCATGTTGCAATTGGGCAAAATGTAAAAGGCAGCGTTGATACTCCGTGAAGCTAGAGATCTGAATGAAAATCTGTCTCGGCCATGCAAGCCCCGAAATGGACATGTTCAGGTCAATTGGTGTGGAAAGGCTGATCACACGGACCAACCCAGGCACGGCGACGTCCAAATGGAGGTATTGAAGTAACATCTGGTTCAAAGTCAAATTGGTCAGCAGGTTGAGGACGACACCGCCCCATGGTGTAGGAGGCGGACCATGAAGATCGTCATCTTCGCTGGACACATCTGGCTGAAGTGGAGGGTCTCCAACCCGCGAATCTTCATCTTCCATGAGCACTGAAAATTCCAAAATTGCAAGAAGAAAAGCACACCCAGCGATGAAGATGCTGACCAGAAACAGTCTTGAATAATGAACAACGGGAGGAAAATTCAAGTCCCCGTAGACAATGGCTCCACGGCGCCGCATACGAAAAAGGAAGGAACGGTGTTTGGGGCTCACTTGAGCCCTTTCTGATGTGGTATAAACATGAAACAAGTGCCCATTAGTTGCCCTTGTGTAGACATGACATGTTCTGTTGCCTTTCCATCTAAAGGCAACATCACCAATCCCGTCCGAAATAACATTACATCAACGAGTTGAGTTCCATTATAATTATAACTGCTCTACTTCCTTGTCATATACACATACACAATATTGCACAATACATCTAGTCCCCATCCAAAATTTGGGCATTTTTAGGCTTGTGCTGCAACATCCAAGGCCCCATGCAAGCTTCAGAACTCTCCTGAGAGCTTCAATGGCAAAAAAGTCGGCCAGCTCCCGCACAAGCACCTTAATCATCAGGAAATGGCAACGGACAGTGGAACTTAGGTAACTGGGTATATAACTTGCGTGCACAATTACATGTGGAATGGAACAAGCTTTGCTGCCAATGGCTCCTGTGCAGCTCGATCTAATGCTTGAAGAAAAAAACTCCTGCGTACAAGGCACAGCTGGGTTTCGTCGCGCCTGGCATCCAACGTTGATAGGTGGGTACAGAAGAGAAGTCGACAGTCCAGGCAGCTTTTTTTGGCAAATTGCACCGGTTGAAGCAGAAATATTCACATTGCACATTTTGCATCCGTCTGCAGGGCCCACATCATGAGCACACTAGGCCTCCGCTTTTCGACAAACGTTGGTAATGGTGAAGACTGTGGAAGCACGGAACACCTGAGCCACGACAGTACATGGCCCACATGGCCAGCAGTTCGAGCCACGCATCAACCTGTGGCAGGAAACCTTTCCAGTGCTTTCCAGTACTTTCCACTGTTTAAGAGGAAAAATGATTGTTCCTCCATGTTCCTCCCAAACCGATCTTGATTCAACAAGAATGGCACCACTGACAATGCCATCTCGCGGCTAACTCACATAAGTTGGATATTGACTCGTAGTCCAAAGGTACATATGTACAGTATGTACGAGTAGTTCGTCCAAATTTCCAAGACATTGTAGTCTTCAAAATACAATGCATTTCTTAGAGTAAAATATTGGTTGAAGGCAAGACAATACCTTCAGATAGAAAGATTTAGAAAAGAAAAGAAACATCAAGACACAGTCACGCCAAAGACAAGGCGAAAGAACAGGCACCAAACACAGATTCCTCTCAATCACAGCAGTATCTGGAGTAATTGGTTAAAAACTTCCTACTCTAATAACTCTCCTGTCTTGATCCTCCAGAGCATAAAGTCTGCTATATCACAACACTAAAATGTCCAAACTGCAACCGGCATTTCTGACGTGTCACAAGTGGAGGAAAGGACTTCATATCTGTGCAAAAGGACACCACAGGTGAAAGGTGAATTCACAGTGAATCCAGCCAAGGAACATCGAAAACCGGAAAGTCTCCTGTCAAATTGCCAGCACTTTGGGACTTTGGGACCGCCCTGGGACCGCAATGCAGCTCATTCAATCGCCTGCTGCAGCTTCGAGGTTGTCGATGCAGACAATGACTTCCACAACCTGAATTCATGCCAAAGAGGCGATGCAAAGACAGAGGATGAGGATCTGCTTTTGTACAATCATCAAATGTCTCAGTATCATGCATTGTTTCGGGGTGTTTCGTGCAGAGCATCCACCTCAGTGCATCTCTAGGACCCTCTCCAATGCTAAACTGAGAAGGTTCAAGCTGTTTGTATTACAGAACTAAACTCAAAACTGACAACTAATTTCACAGCGAATACATAGAGAATACGTAGAGAATAGAGAGTAGAAAAGGCATGCCAGGGCTGCAGTACTGAGAATGTGACTGCATCATATATCCTTTGTGCTCTCACAGGGTCTTGGGCATCTCCACTGTCAAATTCAGCGGTTGCCTGAAAATTCACCGCTCAGCCGCTCAGCCCTTTTTCTGGATGTGCCATGGCCCATGGCCTGGATCTGGACGAGGCGGAAAACCATGAGATGCAGAACAGCAACTTCCTCACATTTGGATACAAAATGGGATCTGTTTTGATCTCCACAGCACACTCCAAGAATAGCTCTCCTTGTCTGCCCAGAAATGCCGGAAGATCTCCTAGTCGTGAGCGAAGCCAGAACGAAGCCAGAGCGAAGCATGACTGGTACTACGCTGGTACTACTGATCAACAGGCTGAGACAAGCTTTTTGACGCTTTGGCGGGCCGCCCGGGTGCCTTCCGGCATCGGATATCCCTTGATCGGTTCTCCTCAGAGGCAGGCAGTTTATGGCATGGCGGGTGCAACGAGCTTTGCAAGCTCGGGAACAGAGTCCAACAGGTCCACCTGTCTCCTTTCAAGCCAAGAGTCAATCAATTGCGTCCACTCTTTCACCTGCAATTGTCATTCTGGTGACTGTGACACCAGAATGCACTGGTCTTACTGCCTGCTACGTTTTGCCCATCGCCAGAACGCCCCACCATAGAATTTTGATTTCCAAAGCCCAACTGCACCATCCCAGCTGCCTGCAAGCCAGCTTGGAGCAACCAATATTCATTCTCAGCAAGGGATCTTTGCCTTGCCTCAGAAGGATCACGATCTGCCCCCCTACCACACTTGGAATCTCCCGGGCAGCGGGCCAGCAAAGCGGCCTTATCGGCCTTGCGATTGTCTAAGCTGTTCAGAGTGCAATGCACTGCACAAAACACCGCATCTGGCCTGATGAGGACGAAATGGGACTGGCTCCCACACCTACAGCAGCAAACACAGCCCACACTGTACAGGCCATGTTATGCTAGCCCAATTCAATACAATTCAGCCATACCTCAAAGTCCTCGAAGTCAGCCTGGCCACCTGTCCAAGGTAACAAAAAGCCGACCAACCATGACATCCCGTTCAGAATGCTGGGGATTCTGAACAGGCCATGATCTTTAACCTTGCCATACCTTGCCTGCAGTCGCTGAAAAAGCGCATGCCGCAATGACCTGCGCAAATTCAATCAGGCAGCTCTAGAGGTTGTGAACATATTTCAACACATTTCAGTGAAGGACATCTTTATTTGTCATGGTATCCCTTTGTATCTTGTCTCGATTTTCACTCAATTTGAGTCCTGGGCCACTCGACAGAGCCATCCCATCGGACAGCCCCAAACATCCTCTTGAAAACCAAGGATCACTCATGCATCCCACCAACAGTTTCAAACTATTTGTTTTCGAGCGCCTACACTTTCACCACTCAGGAATATACAATCTTAGCAGTATAAATGCCAACCATTGACCGTGTGTTTGCTTTAATTCAAATGGTCTTCTCATGTCTTCTCTTTGATGCTTGACTCCTCTCATGCCTTCTCTTTAAACGCTTGATAGCAAAGAGACTGCGTTCGGAGAAGCGTGAGATTACCGTCATTGTTTTGTTCTTGCCTACTTCCTTTCATCTACTAATCACAACAACAAACATCTTCTTCCTTGCATGCCTTGACAACTGCATCCATCTCTGTTGCCCTCTATGAATCTGTACATTGAAGACCACATCAAAGTCCTACTACTGGGTAACATCCCCGACCAATTGATTGCCCTGATCGCTGGGACTTTTCATGATTGGCAGATATTAGCAGATTGGCAAGCATCGAAGATCCACTAGGATTCCAGATCTACACAGATCTACAGGAAATTCCAAGATCTTGAAGCCATCTTTTTTGCCTCGATCACTGTATGACTCTTTGCTTCAGAGCACAACCGGCACCGAAGAGCAGCAGGATGAGCTCTTCTTTCAGGAGCTCTCAAAGATAAATCTTTGGACATCGACAATTGGGATTTGATAGGATCGGATAGCAAATGATAGCAAGAAAAGCAGGAAAACGATGGAAAATTAGCAAGAAAATGAATGAAGGTGATGTGAGGTGATGGTAAATCAGTCATTCTTCATGATGATCTTCATGGATCTTTCAGTTTGTTCAGCTGTCTCTACTGTCTGGTCAAACCAATGACTGATCCTGACTGTAGAGCTGAGTCCAGTATTGATGGATGGGCTCTGTAGCCCTTCTCCCAGTCATCTGCCTCTTCTTGAAGCTGATAGACTGCGTAGGCATGTGCTTCATCCTCAATACCTCAACATGCACCAAATGTAAGACTAACTGCAAGGAACCGAATGGCTTTGAAGTCTCTCTTGCGATGTATATTGCCAATGGCTTGTGGGGAATGTAGACACTGTAGACTGATCTAGACTCATGAAACTTTTTTATCTTGGGCTGAGGCCACGTGCGGCAGTCGCCCTCCCTAGCGCCACATCAATCCCACGGAACCTACAGTTGGGGATGGTTTGCAAACACGTGTCAAAACACTGGAAGATTTCAAGTTTTGACTTCAAATCGGGCCTTGGTCCATAAGCAATTCCTCCCGCTCTGTAGCCAAAATAGAGACCTTTTTTCTCTACCTTGGTAACGAAATGCAAATACACCACCATCCATGCTAAACAGCAAAAGTGCAATCCATGGACATGTCAGCAGGGGCTTTGCGCCCATTGATGAATGAATAGTAACTCCATCCCTTTCTCCCTGTGACAAAATCCCGAATGGAGCACATCTGCAGCAAGCAGTTTCCCACATGGAGAGTTCCAGCGGAATACATGAATACAAATGCATAAATCATAAGATCCTAAATGGGTAAACAAAGTAAGCAACGAGAGAAATTAAGGGGGAAGGAGCGTGATTCTGCCAGGTACCTCGCAACCCAGACTGGTCTTTAAGGCATGCTGCAGCCCTGAAGGTCTCCCCGGCTAAACTTGTGTCCACTTTGGAGGCGGAAGAATTGGCACGGATAAAGTCTGATGCCGCTTGGTCCCTCACGGCCACAGGCAGTGCATCACAGTGCTTGGTATCTCAACAAAAACCAGGAAAACCAGAGTCTAGGCCTGCCTGCGCAGGACCTCATCAAATACCTCTCGCTTCTCCTTCTTTGAGATTGGTGGATTTGACACCGCCAATCTAGCCTTACAACAGCACATCTGAAGAGCCATCCTGTTTCAAACAGACTGAAGGACGAAATCTGCGCCACCGCTAATGAAGACAGAAGCAGAAGCACAAGCATCTCATGTTATCTATCAATCAACTCTATGAAGGCAGCCAAAAGTTCAAAAGCGTCGTCCAAGTTACAAGTTGTTCTGAAGCTTTCTGGTAGCCATCGGCATCCCGGAGTCCAACTGCTTTTGCCATCTCTTTCATTGCTTCTACGGCCTGGGGCCTCAAAGGCTAGCGGCTGGCAACTAGATGAGTCTTGTGAACAGTTGAGGCAGCATCATGATCAAACAGTTGCAGTAAATTAATTATATGATATGTATATATATATGAATATATAATTATATAATTCATTTATATGTTTGATTGACATGTAACAAATGCAAGTGCAGCAAGGGGGGAAGCACCTTCACCTGAAACCGACACCAAACGAACCAATGGCGCCCTGCCTATTTGGTGCTAAATGTGGCACACCGCGAAGGCTGTAAACCTGCACTTCTGGGTGTGCAACATGTCGCCCATGTCGTGGGCCAGATATGGCCAGATTATCATCATGTCCGCAGCTGCACCTCACTGAGAACGGCATTGGCTTTCTGCTCTCCAAGCCGGTCCCCCAACTTCCAAAAGGCCATCAACGCCTCCTGCGCCGGCGGTACACACTGAGCATCTGAGCATCGCCTGAACCCCTGAGATCACTGCGAACTGCACTCCTGCGCCCGAACGAGGGTTTCATCCAGCATCCGGAGCTGCAACAAGATGCTGCTGGCCTGGTATATATGAAAGAGCAGGCGACGCCATAAAATCAATTGCACTGATATTCATAAAATACTATGATTACTATATGAGTCGCTAGTCGCTGCCTGGTGACTACATTCTGTTTTGAGAGAAAATTGTCTATTGCCCGGAAGACTCTCGTGCCTCCAAGTGAACTTTGGACAGCAGTTTCAAGTCACTTGGATCACACAATCCTTGTGCTTCCTGCGCAGAAGAGTCTGTTACAGGAGGTCAAGCTGCAACACGACCGAACCGCGGATTCCAGGCAATTGCAGCTGTAGTGACTGTAGTTGTTTGTGTCAAGACATGTTCTCATCCCTTCGAAGAGAGGCATGCTGTATGATGCTAGAGCTGCTAGACATTGAGGATTGATTTGCCAGTCCTGAATTGTGGACCAAGCCTCTGTTGGGTTCCCTTCAGCCTGAAATGCTACTCATTCAGAGGTATTTTAAAACACTTGATGTGTGTTTGGTGTGAGAGCTCAAACTTTCCAACATCTTCCAAATAAATTATAGCAAGGAGCAGCGCTGATAGTCGCCATCAGCATAGTCATGGCCGCTTGTCCATGGCGGTCACTTTGTTGCCTGACTTGAGGAGAACGAAGGAAGGCACTATTTTAAGACCTTTTAAGACAGGCACCGAATATGTTGATCCTTTCAAACAACAACTCAACAACACAGCACAGGTTTACTTCATTGAATCTAGTTGCATGGCAAACAACGGGTATTGTAAGTTATATAGTTAAGGATAAAAACATCAAAATCAAATTTAAAAAATTGCAGGACATTTTGCCCCATTACCGTTTTTGTATCTTTCTCCATCATTTATATTCTGAGTTGTTCTGAATGCATTTCTGAGATCAAACAAATCAAATTGTGTGCGTTTCACATACAGTTTGACGAAAGAAGTAGACACTCATCGTTCCTGTACCATTTTAGACCTTTTCACATTGATTTGGCAAGGTCTTGAAAACATGTGGAAACCTTGGAAAATACATGAAATTCCTCTGTCCTTTCCCTTTGCGCAACCTGTGGACCAATTGCCATTCAAGTTGCTCAAATTCCGTGAGTTTCGCTGTTGTAGATTGCCGTGCTTCCCCGGTCTGGCTGCATCCAAGGAGGGCACGCACCTCAGCCAGCTGCGCCGCGGTCATCCCATCACCACTACTGATTTATTATGATGGGTATATTAACCCCTATGTGATGAGGGGATGACCATCCCTTTTGGAAGATAATTCCCATGTTTCGACCAGGGTGCCATGGTTCATATGGTTTAGGCAATGTCTTAGTTGAACCCCTTTTTTTTCTATCTGGCATAGCACTTGATGGCAAAAAAAAACATCATTTTGTCCTAAAACAAAAAGATCGGGTGCTTCCGAAAGGCCAGAATTTTTTGCGCGTCAATGCAATTTGCCAGTTTGAGCGATTTGAGTGCGTTCCTGGCAGGCCTTCAGCAATTTTCCAAGTCAAATGACAAACATTTTTCCTGTACACATGTCTGTGAAGCAACAATTTTAACACTCTATGTGTCCACGTATTTTTCTGTCCAAATCTTGATTCACGCCTGATTGCCTCTTGCCATGATCCCCTAAGGACGAGCACCTCACATCAAAATCGCAATGCACAAGCGTTGCGCAGTGTTGGTCCTGCGATGTTAATTTGTTTGCAACTCGGTTGAGGTCCCTACTTTGGCAATCAAAGTCTGCGCAGCTGTTTCCCCGTCAATATTTCCAAGATTGCGAAATGTTTGCAAAGCCTCGGCATGCAAGTGTAAAGCGTGCACCACAGTATCAACAATGTATTTGATGGGAAGTAAAGTGTTGGCACGGAACCTCTCGCGCACGAGTTTCTGCATCGCCAGGTGATGTTGTCAGCAATGCACGAGCGTCCTCCAAGCATCCATTGGCAGTCTTGACGTCCATGGCAACAACTACATATTCGTTGACCTCTGTCAGCGTTGATTTGTTTTTACCTTGGCAAATTCAATATAATTAGTACGGTGTTTCGATCGCGGGATGAACAAACTGATTTGTTTTTGTGTTCCAAATTGCGACTGGGTGCTGCGTCACCTGGCCATGCCGTGTTATGTTTTTTCTTGCAATTTGGATTTTCATGTCAGTGCAGTCCATGAAAAGGCGTCACGTGTGATTCACGGAATCAAACAAAATGTTGTTAATGATTTGTACCTTACCTTGGCAAATTGGAGCCTAACAACGACAAAAACATGCAGCTGACTTTGCAAACGTTCCGATCATTTTCAGACATGCCCCGCATATATTCAAAAAATATGTTGTCCTACATGGCCATTCCAAATTTGTGTGCTCACAACACCATAATTTAATTGCCTTCGATGTTGCTGCTTCAACATGGTTTTTCAATTTGTACAGCGATATGTTCTCAAATTTTCTTTCAGCACCAAAACAACCAAGAAACTACAACATCATCACCACAATCATGTTCACCATCATCATCATCATCATCATCAGCAACATCATCATCATCATGATCATCATCATCATCATCCTCATCATCGTCATCGTAACCATCATCACATACATCACCATCAATGCTAACAATAACATGCCACCTGCAACAAAAACACCAAATAAAAAACGTACAACTACAGCACTTAACATTCAAATCTACATTCTAAATGTTTGAAACATAATGTTCAAACCCGTGAAATTCTCACAAAAAGATCTAAACGGACAGGTGCATGCCAAAGACGAAGGTTCGGAGCGGTGACGGACGCTTGTCCTTGGAGAATCGGAGGAGTACTATTAAACCAGAAAGGTGCTCCGAAGCGCTGACCTTCAATACGGCGTTAGAGGGCCCTTGCACTCTGGTGGCCTTGCGGCTCTGGCCACCTTCGTGCCCAAAGACGCTGACGGTCCGCTTGTTGTCTTAACTCCTTGATCCTAGAAACCATCAATGTCAAAACGTTCAAAGTGCGCAACCCAATGATCAACTGTCTCTACCTCAATCAGCGGCGCAGTCAATTTTTTTTCCACCATATCGGGGGAACATTTGGTTGGAGATTTTGATGCCTCGCTCGGCATCTGCACAATTGATGTCCAGCCTTCCGCATGTTGGATCCATCTGGTTGGATCTTGATTGGTTTTCTGCTAAGCGGTTGGGTAGGATCGGTTTCCATATCCCCCCCACCCTGTCTTAGGGTTGGGAGGGCGGGAAAAAGAAAACTTGGATGAAAAGAAATTTGTGATGATTCCGAACTTAAGTTCATGTGGAGTTCATGTCAACATGCTGTAATGATGCACATGCGAGATGATGACATGACACATGAACATGTCAGAGTTCAGTTGCTCTGCTTTTGCCTTCTTTGTTGAAGGTCTTGAAGCCAAAGGTCCACGTTCGAAATCATCATCAAACCATTTCAGACTTGCAACTTGATACCAATTTGGTTGACATGCTGAATCAATTCTGATTCTCAAAGTTAGGTTTGAATCTGTATTCAATCTAGATCCCAAATATCCAAGTTTCGAAAGAGGAAGTGCAAACTCAGTTGAAATGCCTTTGCTGGTTTTTTCGGACGTTTCATGTGCATGACATGAAACTATCAAGTCGTGTTATCCAAGAAAGTCCTATCCACGTTGTGTAAACTCCCTTCTTGTCTTAACTCCTTGAAACCATCAATGTCAAAACGTTCAAAGTGCACAACCCAATGATCAACTGTCTCTACCTCAATCAGCGGCGCAGTCAATCTTTTTTCACCATATCGGGGGAACATCTGGTTGGAGATTTTGATGTCTCGCTCGGCATCTGTACAATTGATGTCCAGCCTTCCGCATGTTGGATCCGTCTGGTTGCATCGTGATTGGCTTTCTGCTAAGCGGCTGGGTAGGATCGGTTTCCAGATCTCTCTATTTCAAAACCAGACTATCCGTTCCCTGCCGCCTTGACTAACCAATCTGCTACCAAGCTTTGGCATTCGAAGCCCGAGATGAAGTGAGCAGCCCATGGTTTGGCTGCCTGTTGGCCTTCAAAAGGAGGGCTCGTCTGCCGGATTGCTTTTGCTCGGGACTCTCTCTATCCACCAGAATGATGGCAGATGAACTTCAATTGAGTAAAAGGCTTTGATCAAGTCATCCATTGTGGTGCTGTACCGCACGGCATTCCCACATGGATATAGTCTGGGGGCCTATTATTCAAGAGATCAATTAAGATCTGCTTTTTTTTTTAGCCTGTGTCAAATCCAAGAGAGTTCCCGGTACTTTTGGCTCATGCAAAACATGGTCCACTGCGAGAACGGAAAAACCTGCATTGATCAAACTACGCGACAGTGAGGCCTGTCCACAACAGATTTCAACAGCGAACGGTTGCTGACGTGAAACTGATGATTGTTTGTCAGCTCCAACGGCTGACTGTCACTCCGAGCTATGACTGCATTCATGGAAAGGCTTGGCCTTGTGGCAACCTTGTAACACAGATGGTAGCCACGTTGACACCTGGGCCCGGTTCCCCGAAATCCGCAGACGCCTTTGTTGAAGGCGAGCACAGTGGTTTGCCATCAGCTGTCTTCGCTACACATCCTGGGGGAAGATCGATTGAGGACCCTTGTTTCGATTTTGACTCGCCTTTGCCTTTTCCTTTGCCTTTCCCTTTAGGATATTTGGTCGGCTGCTCGGATGCATCGGATGTTGACCTCTTATTGGGTCGTGGGGTTGCCGGCGCTTTGGGAGCTGGCTTGGCATGCAATGACATCAGGTATGGCATCAACTCTGGTGAGGTGCGAAGCAATTTGATCTCCTTATCCAAAGGTGTCATTGATATCCCTGTCTCAGCTTGCAACTTCCCCACAAGGTTGTTGGATGCTCTGATAAGCATTTGCTTGTCACACTCAATGATTTGCTGGAGAGACACTGAGGCGAATCCTGCTGGTTGGGCTCGCTCATGGGATAGGAACAACAGGTGTTGTATCCACATCTCGATTTCACGAAAGGAGCAAAGCCTTGCTTGATCCATTGCAAGCGATCTTCTCTGGAATGCATTGCGGAGGCCCAACTCCGATCCAACGGAACAAACAGGTCGTGGCCGTTGTTTCGGAGCTAATTTTGATACTTCCACTGGCATCAAGGGATACCTTGGGGTCTTTCTTTGAGCTCTGGATCTCTTGCGACCTTGAAGTGCACTCCTCTGGCTTAATCCAAGTTAGGACATTCTGCTCCAGCATGTTGACGCAAAGGTCCACTAAGGCATGACTTGGAGCAACCTCTGGTGAGAAGATGATTCCTTCTAAACGAGCTTCCTGTTCCGACTGGCGCGTTTGTCTCTCAGCCATTGGCAGCTTCCAAGTGACTAGCTGCGGGTCTGAAGGTTGATCCACCTTGCGTTGAAGGTCATTCAGGGCTAATGCATGCGATTCAACCACAAGTCTCCTGATGCATGAAGTCTGATACGGATTCAACTCCTTTGCTGTCACCTTCGATAGCCATGCCAAGAGCCGTGTCAGTGACTTGTTGGGGTGTTGTTGAGACTGCAAAAGCCAACGATCCAAAAGTCTCGAAGCCCTTAAGTTGCAACTCAACTTTCAGCTCTTCCTCCACTCTTAATTGCTTCAACCTCTCTGCAAAAGCAACTTTTCTGTCGAGCGCTGACATGGCAGGCGTGGCGAGCTTAAGGCATGAACTATAATTTTGATCAACGTCAATTAAATCTTTTGGATCATTAGGCCCTGTGTGTTCTGATTCCATGACATGGTGGATCATATAGTCTGAAATTGTCATCGCTGAATTTCTGACATCTTGATTATAAAAAAATCTTGCTGGCCTGCTACCCCTCTGCTGAGGTCCCGAAATCGGGCTGCAGACGGATTGATTCTCCGTTCGTGGACTGTGGTTCACCACTGACTCTGAAATCATCTTGTTTCAGCATATGTGTTAAAATACCTCTGTAAGTCATCTGTGGTTGGCTGATGCCTTTTTAACACATGCCTCACTTCGCACTGCTCTTTTTACCGCGCTCGATCTCAGTCAGGGCTACGGGACTTTGTTGTCCCACATACATGAGATACTCATATGCCTGATGATTCGTGTCAGACACTCTGCAAAACATTCCATCTTGTCCAACAACTCAAGTCGTTTTCCATCCTCAAGCTCAAGCCACTTCATCACTGCCCACGAGAAAGGTAATGGCCGGAGCTGTCATAGCACGTATGAATGAGGATGATAGGAAAAGTGCGGGCACAAGGAAAGGTCGAATGAATCTGCTTAAGCCACAATTTTTCAATCTTTGCTGACTGAAAATTTTGATCAAATGCTCTCAGGCTCTGCTGCCCTTTTGATCTGATGAAATCAAATTCTCTCAAATCTTCTAACTGCGCACCCCCTTTTTTCACCCTCGGTGGTGAGCCACTTGGCGTCCACATAATGTACAACATTCCATGTCGTCCATGCTGCTTGCTCCAGGGCAACGTAGTTTTGTGACTTTTTTTTTCTCCGGGTTTGGCCGATGACGCTCTAAGGCTCGGTCCTGTAATTCGTATAAACAGAGAAAAACGAGGCGATAGAAACGCAGTGGTTCCAGCTGTACAATCAAAATAGGTGGCAAAGGCAAAACAAGCAAACAAGAAAAAGACAAAGAACCAAGGCACCAGACGACCCGCAAAGCCCCCAGCCAGATTTGCGTTTCGCCTCAAAAACAACAACGAAACAACAAAAGAACGGGGCCGGGGCCCAACAAAAACCAAAAACACACACACAAATTGCTACAAGACACAGGGGGAATCCTCCCTCTGTGCCTTTTGGATCGCATGCACCAAAGCTAAAACTAATTCAATACTTCCACCAGTTAAGAGGAAAAACGGCGGCAGTGAGACAGATAAACGTAAACTAGTGCAGTTGTGAAACAGGCTGTACATTCACAAATTCATCCTCTTTCCAAACATCCGCCAACTGGTAATCTCTGAGCAGAAATAGAAGTCTCACCAACCAACTCCTCCGCGTGAGAGAAGCACAAGGCATACGTAGTTCACCACTCAGAACTGCCGTCCCCCCCAAGATGGGGGAACGACTAAACAGTCTAAACAATCGACGGTGGAAGCGAAAGGACCTCGGCAAAGCCGGACCGCCCAGTCCTCATATTAAACAGCTCGTACACCTCGTACACCTGGAGAGAGCCGCATTGTTGTCAAGGTCAGTAAACCGTGAGGGCAAGCCTGTATTCATCAACGAGTAGTGGGGGAGCCACTGCCACAGTCAGTGTCGGAGGTCAGAAAGACCAAGTCCGAGACTCCTAGTAGCCGATACAATGCGCCACTCCGAGGTGGACATGCATTTGGCGAACGTATATCGCACTCAATTAGCTGGGAGTGCCATGCAGAGATGTCGCGACGGCATCGTGATCGTCACAGTCGCGATAGTCGGACAAGATTGTGTTCAAGCACCTTGGAAGTGTCTTCGTCTCGCACAGATGTCCGTAGCACACTGTCCAAAAAGGGTAGCTCATTCAAAGAGCCATGGCCCTGCAACAATCCCGTAAGATTCCCCTGCAGAGAGCAACACTGAACAGCGCCAGTGCAGCTCGCCGCAGGTGCAACTCAGATCATGGCGACGGCCGGCTACGCCCCCACCCCCTTCATCCCAACACTCAAAACGGTCAAGTCGACCCAAATACAAACAACCTAGCGAAACGGATTCACAACAAGTCAGCGGGGAAGGGGGGCAATGTCCTAACCAAAAATTAAAGACCTTAGTGCCCAAAAAGCGAGAACATGCAATATGTATCTGAGTCGCAAAATTTCTCCGTCGCCTTAGTTGCTGCACACTAAAATTAAGTTGCCGCGGACGTGAAGGTATCCAACTCGTCCAATCCAGTGGCGTGAAGGCGCACTGTTTGTATGAGTTCCAGACGTCAGCACCTCCAGTGCTCCCTGAGCGCTTCTTAGTAGTGGACCTCAAGTGGGTACAACGACGTCATAGACCAGCCTAAAGTCAACTTGTGAGCGTTGGGAACGCACTCAAAGACCGGTCTTCTCTGGCAGCAAGAGTCACTACATAGAAGTTCTTGATGGCCGATAGACGCATTTTGGGCCACCATCTCAAACCTGGTGATCGTTCAGCGTTGACGTACAGCCGCAAATCCCACACGGGTCTCAGAAATTGAGAATGGATCATTCCGACCAGATTCATCACATT